CTTTAGGCTGCCAAAATGGCCTCTTGTGACCTTCAGCAGCTGGATGCGTTTTAGAGCATCAATGAGGCAGCTGTATGGTACACAAGCAGCCAAAGTGACCCTGCTTAACTTCATAGACCCCATTCTGTGCTAAGCTTTGCTTGGTCATACCAGAGAATGTGTCCTCATAGGTTTGGGGGGCAGAGGGATATAGTTTGTTTGAAAAAATTTAATACACGATGATTAAAATTACTTAGAATTTATGTGGGTAATGTACAAGTTTTCTTGCCAGTTACAAAGCATTTGAGAAAGGGGCTAATCCTCAAGCCTCGAAGAGTTTCTTTCTGCATAACTTTCATTCTGAAAACTATATAAGCCCAGGACAGGTACTGCTGAACAGTACCTTCCATTTTAACTCAGATATGTGACTAACATTGCTCTTAAAGACAAGTTGATTATTTCCTGAGTAAACCGAATGTAATTGAGATGCTGGGTGTGGCCTCTTTAAATGGATGTAGGCTGCTTGGTTGCCAGGGCAACCTCTATAAATATCAGTGAAACATATGTGGTGTCTTAAAAAGCTAGGAACAGAATGCGAAGGGGGAAGGTCTGTACTCAGGGCAGTGGATGCAGGATCAGCTCTGGGCTAACCTATGTGTCCAGCAGTTCTGGAACTTAATATTTATTTCTTTAGCTTGAGTATTTACATTATCTTATTTGTAGTGAGATAGAAGAGAGGCACATTTGTTGTTCATTGTGAAATATACTCTTTTCTGAATTCCTTTGATATGCTGTGGTATTATGTAATGCACATTTGTTTATCATAAAGAATTAAATCTGATCTCAAAACACTAAGAACAAAGATGTCCTGGATCCCTATCACTCTAAGTATTCTAGTGACTCTAATTGGGCCACTAAATTTGCATTATTGAAATCACCCTGAGTTTACTAGTCATCCCAACCAATATACAAAATACACAGCTGCACAGAGCACCACAAAATTTGAGGCACCAAATTGCCCCAAATTTTGTGGTGACCTATGTAGCTGTGTGCTAAGTATGGGGTAGCAGAGGCTCTGGTGACCAGCCCCATCCACTAGGCAGCCTCCGTGTAGGCTGTACCCAGCAGTGCCATTCCAAGCAGGAGGCAGGGCCCAGGAAAAACCCCAGGGCTGCCCCATCCCATGCACACTCCACCCCTTCTGCCAGTCCTTGCCCCAGCTCCACTGGTAATAGGTGATGCTTACCTGGAAAGTGGTTAACCAGCAGCCCAGCCAGACTGAAGCAGCCCCCTCAACCACACTGGGGGGCCTGGTTGGAGAGTTAGCCAGTTAATTTTTTAAACAGAATTTTACATCCCTAATCCCTAGGTCCTTTTCTGCACAATTGTTGCTTAGTCAGTTTGTCTTCAGCCAGTAGCAGTGGATGAGATTGTTCTGTCCTAAGTGCAGGACTCTGCACTTGTCCTTGTTGAACCTCATCAGATTTATTTTGCCCCCAGCTTAGTGTCATGCATGACTTGCTAAGTGTGCAGTCCATCCCACTATCCACATTAATGAAGATGTGGAATGTCATCCAAGGCCCTGCTTCTTTAACTTTTTAGCAAGAATACTGTGGAAGACCACATCAAACCCTTTGCTAAAATCAAGGTATATCATGTCCACCACTTTCCTTATATTCACAAAGCCAACTGTCTCCATCATAGAAGGCAGCTAGGTTGCTCAGGCATGACTTGCCCTTGTTGAATCCATGTTGGCTGTTTCTGATTACCTTCTCCTCCAGATGTTTCAAAGTGGATTCCTTGAGAACCTGCTCCATAACTTTTACAGGGAATGAGGGGAGGCTGATAGGCAATCTGGGAAACTGTGGTCCAATGTAAAATAGGTGAAAAAACTCTGGGCCAAGTTTCTGTAAATGTAAATCAGTTAACACCACCAGAGGATCTGACCCACTTTGCAAAAATGTAATCTACTAAAGAAGATGCCAGGCAGTAGAGACTCAGTCACTTGTGCTTTCCAAAAGCAGGAAAAAATGACAGAAAAATAGGTTATCAGCAGGTACATGGCTTGAATTGGAGGAATGCACTGCTGCTTGTGACGGTGACAAAAGTGATATGCATTTAAAATAAATGAACCATGTAATGAGGTTGGTGGCAATAGGTTTTATCTATCCTTCCCCCTCTTAAGGGCAACTTAAGAGTCTGAGTCAACTCCAAATGAAATAATCAGGAATCTTTCCTTAGACTTCAATGCAAGCAATATGTCAGCAGTGATTTAATAAGAAATAACACCAAGTGAATGAATTTAGGGAAAGCAGTGCTGTTATTGTTTCATTAAAACATGCTAAATAAAGACTCCTCTGACTAATTATATTTTTATTTTCGTAGATAATCTGTTCAAACCAAAGGAAAGGTTCATTTCAGAAAAGGAGATGCACATGAGATCTAAAAGGTACAAACCAGTTTAGAATTCATTGTGATTCCCTGCAATCCAATGGCAAAACCCAGCACTGCCTAATTAGCATCATCATATTGGGTTTGTGGTATATCATGCCTTGTACAGTATGCACAAATATGGACATGGTCTTCCCCCTAAAATGGCTGGAACTCTACTGTAGATGAGAGGCTGCCCTAGTTACAGGATGGTGTGGAGTTATTCTGTCTTTGCAGAAGCAACAGCAGGCCACCTTCTACAGGGACAAACTGACTCTGGGGGTTCTCATGAGGAGGAAGAGAGAACACCCTCCCCCCACCACTATCACCCTATATGGAGTGCAGATTATATTGCTTTTGATGGACAGTTCTTCTGCTACATGCAGGGAAGCCAACAGACTTGCTGGGCCCCTGGGCAAAGTAGAGAGATCCAGCTCTGCACTCCTCGAAGGGACAGAAGGGGCAGAGCTGGGGGCAGCCAGCCTAGAGCACCACCCAGAGTGTACTGTTCCCCTTCTCTCCAGCCAGCCCTCAGAGCTTCCCAGAGCGCATCTCATGAGGCTCTGGTGGCAATTTCAAGGGACGGGGGCACCAGCTGTTACCACAGTAGCAGAATTAGGGGCACCCAGGAGTCCCAGGCCCCTTTTGAATCTCCTGGCCCTAGAACAGTTGCTCCCTTTGCCCCTGCCTCTCCTATTGGCAGGCCTAACTCAGTGCTTGTAGGTCTTGGTTCTGCCACCTCCCACCCCTTTTTGGGGTATCTAGTGCCTTGGTGTAATTGTTGGGAGCATTCCTGTACTCAGAAAGCATAGGGAGCGTGCAATTATGGCTGGTTTCTGTGGCAAGGTATAATTTGGGAGTCTTTATTTTGTGGCCCATGATGCACCATTTGCTCTCGCTTGTCTGATGGTCTTTAGTAATTTACTAAATGTTATTTATTCAAATATATTTATTAACGTTTACGAGATTTGCGCTTAATATTGTGCATATATTATAGCCCTGAAAAATATACCAGTAGTTTCAGTTTTGTAGTACAGAATTTCACTTTTTATGATCCCACCTGTGCAGATTGTCCAAAAGCACAGTGAAGTTTGTACTGCATCCTTCCAAATATTCCTTTGGGGGCTCTTATTCTGCAGGCTGCTTTCTCCATCTTCTGCCATATTTGTTATTATTCATCTACCATAAGCAATCCAGTGAAGTTTCTTGTTAACAGTGGGAGTTAGGCTACATGTAGACTGCAGGCTTCTTTTGGAAGAAGCTTTTCCAGAAGAGAGCTTCCGAAAAAACTTCTTCAGAAAGAGAGCGTCCATACTGCCAAAGCACATGCCTTTTTCCGAATGAGCTGTTTCAGAAAAAGGCTTCTTCCTTGTAAAAAGAGGTAACCCCCTCCTATTCTTTCAATTTTTTTTCGAAAGAACACAATTATAGTACGGACACGAGTGAAGGTTTTTTTTGAAAAACAGCCATTTTTCAAAAAAAATCTCTGTAGTGTAGACATACTCTTACTCTTAGTTAAGCATTAAATATGAATAAAGAATCTTCTCTCTAATACTAAGAGCTATCTCTCTGCAGAGGTGCATAGATCAAGATTTTTATTAGTGACTAGTAATTTTGGAGGCCCAACTTAAGGCATCTTAAAAGGACTGATTTTCACTTATTCAAGTACTCAGTCATCCTCTGAAAAATCAGGCCTATTTAAGGTATATGAAGTCATGCACCCCAAAACTAAACTCAGAAATAAATGTTGTTATTTTTTTTTAATCTTGACCACAGCACATATCCTAGTAAAAACTGCAATGTATTAGATATTTAGGAATCTGAGCCTCCCTTGCCACCTTGCACCTTAGTCATTTATAACAACAAAAAATGCAAAGTGACATCTAGGAGTTTTTCTGAATTCGCAGAGATCAAACTATGTCCCACTGTCCTTAAAAATAAAACACTATTGATAATGTGCAAGCCAGAATTGGCTGCTGTATGGTCTCTGTACTGCGAAATAGTAAAGTTTAATAGTGCACTAAATTAGTGAAGTCTGAAAACTTATGATTTAGATCAGAATGGACCCAAAGAGTAGAATTGTTGAGTAAGATGATATTTGTTACATAAAGTCTAATCATTCTGTCACTTGTGTCATTGGCAATTTTGCTATTGACTACAGAGGAAAAAGAATGAGACCTAAAGTTACTTTTTTGAGTGTAAAAGGACTAAAGTTATATTAAGAATAGAGAAATTTGTCTTCTGGTGAAAGGGTCACAGTGATAGTGAAAAAATCGTACCAGTTAATATAATTATCATTTTGTTTTTTCTTTCACATTTTTGAGACTCATTGAAGATTATTGTTTGGAATTACTATTGTGATGTATCTCAAAAAAAAAAGTTTGGGTCAAATTCTTGTCTCAGTTACAATACAATAAATCTAGATCATTCCACTGAGCTCAGTGAAGTTACTCCAGAATTGCATTGATGTAACTAAGATAACCTGACCCTCTAGTTTCATTTAATAATTTCAGAATAAATACCATTTCTCAAGTTTCTGAGTTCAAAATCTTTCATTGTGATACCAGTGTCATGTATGAAATCTGATTCAGGTATTTACAAATGCATAATAAAACCAGTGATCACCTAGAAGAATTGTTTCCACTTTGAAAAATTAAGGGAGTTGTGACACTATAAATATTACATGTTAATATTCCACATTTATGCCAGGATTTATAATAACTTGCCTGAAGTGAAAAAGAAGCAAGAAGAAAAACAGAAACAGATAATTATACAAAGCAACAGACTGCGGGTTGAGGTCTTCAAAAAGGTAATGATTCCATTGTGAATATGTATAATTTGGGCTATAACTGTGTCCTACTGCATTAAAATCATACAACTCTGGTCACATAACCCCCAATAAATTCGCTTACCTATGTCTTGTGCATTTCTATAGCCCCTGCTATAGATTTGAGCACCTCACAATCTTTAATGTATTTATTTTCACAACACCTTTGTGAAATAGGGAAGTACGATTACTGTAGTCTACAGATAGAGAATGGAAGCACAGTGGGTGTGTATAACAAAATATACCTGGCTGGACTAGGTACTTGCCTCAGGCTTATGCAGCAAGGAGACATACCCTGAGAGACTAAGACCCAGATCTTCAAAGGAGAAATCAGTGGGGGTGCTGAGGTGCGACAGGTTCTCAGAGGCCACTTGGACTATGTACAGCATGGCCCATTGGCTTCAGACAATATAAATGTTCCTTTACTCTTGGTGTTATGGCCCAGTAGCCTTAATCAATAAGTCCACCCCTCTATGTGGGTTATCACAGCCCAGCATCCTCAGTCAATATACATGCCCCTGTATTTGGGGTTTTATAGCCCAGTGGCCTCAGTCTACATATACAAGTCCTCCTCTTCAGTCTAATACAGCCCAGTGGCCTTAGGCCCTGTATAAGCCCCTTTAGTCAGGATATTACAGCTCTGCAGCTTAACTCCATACAGCAGTCTCTCTAATCAGGGCATTATGGCCCAGCGGTCTTAGTCAATACAGCAGTAATAAAGTTCCCCTCACACGAGGGTATGTAAGGAGGGAATACGGGGACCTGGGCCCTCCCTCTTTACCAGGTCTCAGCTCAGGGCCCTGTTGGCAGTGGCACACTCCAGTGCTCATTCAGTGGGGAATTCTGACGTAACACACTGAGTGCTCGGGGAGAACTTCCCCACCCTGGCTACTTCCTACCAGTTACCTGGCAGATGTCTCCTCTGTAGGCTGACTCTTGTTCTGCTGCTTCTCTGGTATGAGCTGTCAGCCGGGCTGCACTTCCTCCCCTGGAGCTCCCTCAGCAATGTATCCCTCAGCAATCAGCCCTGACTGAGCTATTCCATAAACTTTTATAGTCAATCTCCAGTTGGAGCATGCCAGGTAGGGCTGTGGGGGTGGGTCTCTCTCTGTCAGGTGGGCCAAAGTGACTCCATCAGCTCCTGTGCCGGGCTGATACACCCCATCACAGGGGGTTATGAAAGTGATCTCCCAGCGCTCTATGTAAACCACCTCCACAAGGGGAGTAACTAACAGTGCTGGGAGCACAGCTCCCAGTACTGTAGCCTGGTTCACACTGACACTTTACAGCTCTGTAACTTGCTGAGCTCTGGGGGAAGGGGGTGTTTTTTCACACCCCAAGCCAGAAAGTTACAGCACTGTAAAGTGCCGGTGTAAACTTAGCCAGTGAAATCAAACTCATCACTAGTCAAAGGTAGCAAATTTCAATACCCCAAGCCTCCATGTCCAGAGTTGTTCTGGCAGCCATTCATGAGGAAAGTGGTGACTCTTTGCAATGCATTTGCAAAAGCAAAGATTTAACTTCATGGTTCATGTTGATGCCTCTTTCCTGCACAGAGATCAAATATGCAGTGGAATAAATTAAAAATAGCAGGTGAGAATAAAGGTTACATGCCATAGACATCCCAAACCTCTACTAGGGAGCTTTGCTAGGAATTGTGGGATAGAATGTTTTTGGATGCTGCCTAAAATGTTTTTGGATGCTGCTGCATGTGGACATAGTGCAATGGCAGAACCTGAGACAGGAAGGCTCGTGCTGAAGAAGTTCTCAGTTCACTACCCCCAGTTATTCTGATACTAGAATTTTTCAAACATGAGGAGTCACAATTTTTTTATTATAAGAAGGTATTGTATTTTCACAGTTGTTATAATCAAATATTAACAGTTTTGTACCCACAGAATGCCTCTTGAGGCGACACTAAGCCAGGAATATATCTGATTGAAGGTGAAAGTTTCAGCCAGTTTTGACTGACTGAAATCAGTAGGTTAAAATGGAAACTGTTAATGCAACCCTTAAATGATAATGATCACAGTGACTTCTGCTATATGTCCCAACCATGCATCTAAATTATGACCAAAGGGTTTGTTCTTATTTTTACCCTCTAGCAACTACTGGACCAGCTTCTTCAAAGAAATACGGAGTGACAAAGGAGACCACTGGATCTTGAATGTCTTTGACTATTAGATAAGACATAAAATTTAGCATTATCTTAACTACCTGGAGACATATTTCTTACCCTTAACATTCTATGTAAAAGGAAGATAATTTGTACTTCAGTAGGAATTTGAAAGAAAGAAACTTCCAAGTAACTAAGAAAGAACCTATACATGAGCAAACTTCTTTAGCAGTATCCTGTTCTGGTTGGCTTACCCAGAGAAAGTAATTTTAAGAAGCTTTTATGCAAATATTGGATTACAATGGTATTTATTTTCAGTTTTTTAAATATATATATATATATATATCTTTTTAGCAATATAACTAGGTTTACAAGACCTAGGAAACTTATTTTTCTAAAGTATGTTGCTCATTGATTTCCTGAGAGTAAAATTCTAGAAAAATGAATATCGTTATTTGTTATCTTTAGAAACCAGCTGAAATGGCATTACCACATAATCATATAAGCAGTCTTTTAAAATGAATGGTTAGCATTACCAAAAGGGACCAATATTTTAATGCTCTGAACAAGCCCATTCTGGTTTATGTAGTGAACCCAAATAGCAGGGTTAACTGGGAGAAAGCAAAATTTAGAACCTCAGTAATAATATTTTCTACATGTGTATCACAACACTGCTTGCTTCAGGGAGCATTAAGTATTTGTAGAAATGGCATTTTAAGAAGTGGAGTGGACCCAATGCATTGGTATCCACCAAGAAATATGTGGGTGTACAATTACATAATTAAAAACATCTGTAATGTATCCTCCAACAATATTTAAATCTTTATTTGTACATTTTGGAAATAAAATCAACCAGTGTTCATATTAAAAGGAATAAACAAATATAATAATCCAAATGCTATCACTTTATATTGTTAAATATGAAGCACTTATTTCAAAGCATTTACAAAGTTATGATTCAGTATTAATAAACAGGTCTTCATTTTGTCATAAATCCTACCGTGAAAACATACTACATACTACAGTAGTTTCAGAGAGGTAGCTGTGTTAGTCTGTAAGGGTATGTCTACACTTGCACCCTCTTTCAATAGAGGGATGCAAATGAAGACAGTCAACATTTCAAATGAAGCCAGGATTTAAATAGTCCATGCTTCATTTGCATATTCGCGTTATAGCGCTATTTCAAAATAACAGACACTGTTAAGACAAGGTTATGTCAAGAGAAAACCCTTCTCCAGAAATAACTGGTAAACCTCATTGTATGAGGAATAAGGGTCATTTTGAGAGAAGGGTTTTCTCTCGAAATTACCACGTCTTAAGAGCGTCTGTTATTTCGAAATAGTGCCATAACACGACTATGTAAATGAAGTACAGGATATTTAAATCCCAGTTTTATTTGCAATTTCGAATGTCTTCAATTGCATCCCTCTATTGAAAGAGGGTGCAAGTGTAGACATATCCTAATAGAAAAATCTTAAAAAACAACAAATAGTCAAATAGCACTTTAGAGACAAACAAAAATGTAGATGGTATCATGAAAAATGTAGATGGTATCATGAGCTTTCGTGGGCACAACCCACTTCTTCAGATGAAGGAATACTATCCATATATTGGACAAATTTTTCATCTTAAGTACAGCAGTGTAAATCAGAAGTAAGTCCATTAAGTAAGTGGAGTGTACATAGCTGATTTGTATTCATGAGATCAGGATTTCAGCCTTTGCTTCTAAACTCCTAATTTAGATTGAGATTTAGGACCATATATTTTTAAAAAGAATTTTCCCTTTTCCCAAGAGCATTTATTTGTGTAAACCATTTAGATATCATCTAGCATTGCTCATGTGGAACAGTAATAACTTATTTCACAAGCGGTCTCATTCAAATCTCTGGAACTGACTAAGGTAAGTTACTGCTCATTGTGAGACAGGCAGGGTAAAGGAGTCCGGCCTATAAGGCACTCACATGCTTGATCTCCCACTGACTGAATCCACATCAAATATATTTTCAAACCGGGCTGCCGTAGTTCTCTTAGGACAGTTCCATTCAGGGAGATTCCACTGGTGAATTCCTAGCCATACTGAAGTCAATGGCAAAATTTCCATTCACTTGATAGGCTCAGAATTTCACACTAGATATTTCATTCTTGGGATCATAAAGTCTTAAAAACACTGGTCTCTGGTTTCTTGGTTTAACCTTTTGCCTTCTCGCATAGTGGAATTATATTTGCCAATTTTGCAACCCTCAAGAATCTTGCTCAAATTTAGTGTTTTTTCTAAAAAATATAAATGTTTTGCTTTAGAAATGTGCACACATTGTTTTGCTTCATGAAAGTCTCGATCCCCAAATGTTTTTATTTTCTCTATGAGTAATTTCCTAAATGAAAAGAATAAATATGTAGCAGTTTGCAATGAAAATTCTATCAGAGAAATGAGTTTTGGCGCACAGTTAATGAATAAGATGCCTAAAGCAAGTCATTGGCTGGTAATGTTTGATATGATATGAAGCTGTGCTTTAAAACAACAGAAATAATCTCTGTAGCAGGCCTAATCTCTCATTTTAGTCTTGTGAGAACCAAATATCCCACATTATATCCAAACAGTTCTGACACTCATTTCAGTTTATAGTCAGGTTATTATAGTAAGTCATAGGCCTTCAGGCAAAAAGGCTACTTCTTGATAACATTTCAAACCACCAATATAAGCCTTATATTTTTTGCAACCAAACAATAAAGTTTAGAATTACAGCCAAAGTTTGCACAATTCCACTTTAAATTTTGTACACACTTTACACAGAAGAGAAATTTTACCATTGTATATGATTCATATGGAGAAGTAACAGACCTGATTATATCAGTATATCCCACTGATTTGTACAGAATTAATCCAATCACACCTGTGCCTACGTCTGTATGTGCAAAGTCTTATAACCTAACAACACTCTAATTTTGTCACTTAATATTACAGGCAGTCCCCGGGTTACGTACAAGATAGGGACTGTAGGTTTGTTCTTAAGTTGAATTTGTATGTAAGTCGGAACTGGTACATATTGTAGGGGAAACTCTAGCCAAACATTTCTCCAGAGCTCAGTCTTATTCTTCCACACCTCACTTCCCTCAGTCTTTTATTCTCAAGCTGAGGTGTCTGCTGAGAAAAGCCGCTCCACCTCTCCCTGGTCTGCTGGGCGGGGGGAGGGGGACGCGCTAGCTTCGCATCTCCCTAGTCTGCTGGGGGGAAGTAGCTAGTGCGGGGGTGCCTCACCCCGGTTGTAAGTAGGGATCCGATGTAAGTCGGATCCATGTAACCCGGGAACTGCCTGTATTGCTTCTTTCACGCTGACAGGCATGAATACAAATATTAAGGCAAGACTACACAACACACAGGCCCCATTTAAGTTAGTTCTGCTGAGATTAATAAAATACAATATTTACCCCATTTACAGCCATATGACAGCACTTTTAATGAGCAATGACAGTCCACGAATTTAACTACAGCCTCTTCCCGACTTACGAACCAGTTACGGACCAAGCAATTGGTCATAACTCCGTTCGTTCTTAAGTCGGACCCCATAGAGTTACACGCGACCGTGCTGTTCGTAAGCATGAATCGCGTTTGTAACTCGGGGTCCGCCGTTTACGACAGCTTTGGTCAGAACTGTGAACAGTCGTAAGTCGACCGTTTGCAATTCAAGGACCGGCTGTACTAAAACGTATATCAACAGAAGACCATTATACTGACTACTTTTTTGTTTTGGCCACACACAACCGGACCACAGGACACATGCGGCATGGGCTGAGTGTTGAGTCGGCCTCGCAGCTCTGCGGGACCCCAGTCGGAGCCGGCCCGAGGAGGAGAAGGATCCTAGGACCCAGGTGAGCGAGCCCCGGGAATGCTGCTGCGCATGTGCGGGAGTTGCCTCACCCCGTTCGTATCTAGGGATCCGACGTAAGTCGGATCCACGTAAGTCGGGGACTGCCTGTATATATTCTGATGGGTTCCTCAGTTTTGAATGGGCCACCCCAATTTCTATTTATAGTTTAATCCATAATTTTTAGTCCTAATTTGTGAGCTCCAGCAGAACAGTATTGTGCCCTTTGCCAGTTGGCAACTACAAGTCCCTGGGTTCTAGTAAGTGCATTGGGTTTTCCAGGGATCCCCTGCATCTGATATCTACATAATAGTTCACCAAAGGGTGGCATGTGATATTTCTATCATGAACCAGTGATCCTCTGGTCATCATAATTTTCGCCAGATGTTAGTACAAAGCTAGTAGAAGATGTAGTTTGAGATATGTAAAATATTAGGTTCCAAAACTACTGAACTCAAGTTTATCACCTGAATTGAGGTAAGCCTCAGGGCTTACTTAATCCGCACACAGAACAATGGACATCCATGGAGACTGGCAGTGTCAGGTGTGGCCCTGAGGATTTAGAAAGACAAAGGAACCATAATATAAGTCTTTGAAGAAGGACAGAGACAATAGTATGGAACTGCATTTTTTTAAAAGAGGAAGGACAAGTTGTTAACCCTTCACCGAGGAAGCATGCTGACTACACATTTGTTTCAAGAAAAGAGGGTCACAGCCAGGGTGGCTGTAAAGCATTGGTGAACATGACTTTATTAGACATGAATATATCTTGTTAATAAAGTATAGACTCTAGAATGCATGTTCTAATTTTCTATGTAATTGTTTGCGTTACTTCTACTTACTATTATTTGAATTGCTATCCTTTGTTAAATAACCCTATATTTGAGTTCATTATATAAACATATCTAAGGATATGTCTACACTACAGCGCTATTTCGAATTAACTTAATTCGAAACAGTTATTTCAAATTAAGCTAATTTGAAATAGCACATCTACTCACAAAACCTATTTCGAAATACCGCTTTGCTATTTCGAAATAGCGTGTCCACACTGAGTGGACCCTGAACTGAAATTAAGGCTGGCTGGAACCAGTGCTGGCAGGACATTAGGTTAGGATTTAGTGTGTGGGGCTGCTGCCTGAGGCTAACTGAGCTCTGTGCTTAAAGGGACCCTACCCCCACCCCGGACAGACAGTTCTCAGGGTTCCCCGTTTGCTTGTCTACCTCAATAAGGGACAGCAAAGCAGTCCTGTCTTGGAGTGCCCTGAGTGCCTGCACTCGGGACACCACAGCACTCGGCCACATGGAGCCAGAACTGCCCCTGGGTATACCGGTGCGTCTCATGGGGTTGTTGTCATCAGTCCGGCTGCACTTGCTGCAGGCTGCCATCTGGGGGGATCTATCGGGGGGCTGTCAGGATCCAGGAAGCCCTGCTAGAGAGTGTCCACCCCAAGGAGTCCTCAGAGCCACCCCAGTCCTCCCCACCAGGGGCTCTTGCCCCATTCCTCCCTCATGTCCTTCCACTTACCCCTCCCTAACCCAGCTTCCTGATGTCAAATAAAAGACATATGTTCAAAAATAGAAACTGGGTTTATTGAACAAAAGGGGGGGGGAGGGGGATGAACCTCCGGGGAGACTGGGAAAATGAGGTGGGAGAAGGAGGAGAGAAGGTAGGAGAGAGGAGGGGGAAACCTGGGAGGAGGGACCTGGAAGGGGGAAGCAAGGGGAAGAAGAGGGAGGGGAAGCTCAGGGCCCAGGATTGGGGGTCTTGCCGGACCAACTTGATTTTCATGCAGACCTGCTCCTGGGTCCGCATGTGGCCTTTGGTGGCCAGGCTGGCAGTTATTCTGCCATAGATAGCTGCATTCCTCCATCTAGTATGGAGATCATGCACGTTGGGGGCATCCCCCCAATCTGAATAAGGTCCATGATCTCCACCCTGGACCAGGAAGGCACCCGCCTTCTCCAGCACCTGTCAGGCTCCAAGGAGCTGGCAGACTGCTCCTGGGGAGCGGTGGAGGGCTGGCTGCCAGTAGCTTGCTGGCTCAT